CACAGGTACACACACACACACACACACAACACACACAGGTACACACACACACACACACACACACACACACACACAGGTACAACACACACACAGGTCACACACACACACACACACAGGTACACACACACACACACACACACACACACACACAGGTAACACACACAACACACACACACACACACACACAGGTACACACACACACACACAACACACACAGGTACACACACACACACACACACACACAGGTCACACACACACAACACACACACACACACACACACACACACACACACACACAGGTACACACACACACACACACACAGGTACACACACACACACACACACACACAGGTACACACACACACACACACACACACACACACACACAGGTACACACACACACACACACACACACACACAGGTCACACACACACACACACACACACACACACACACACACAGGTACACACACACACACAACACACACAGGTACACACACACACACACACACACACAGGTACACACACACACACACACACACAGGTACACACACACACACACACACACACACACACAGGTACAACACACACACACACACAGGTACAACACACACACACACACACACACACACACAGGTACAACACACACACAACACACACAGGTACACACACACACACACACACACACACACAGGTACACACACACACACACACACACACAGGTACAACACACACACACACACACACACACACACACACACACACACACACACACACACACACACACAGGTACACACACACACACACAGGTACACACACACACACACACACACACACACAGGTACACACACACACACACACACACACACACAGGTACACACACACACACACACACACACACACACAGGTACACACACACACACACACACACACACACACAGGTACACACACACACACACACACACAGGTACACACACACACACACAACACACACAGGTACACACACACACACACACACACACACAGGTACAACACACACACACACACACACACACACACACACACACACACACACACACACACAGGTACACACACACACACACACACACACACACACACACACAGGTACAACACACACACACACACACACAGGTACACACACACACACACACACACACACACACACACACACAGGTACACACACACACACACACACACACAGGTACAACACACACACACACACACACACACAACACACACAGGTACACACACACACACACACACACACAGGTACACACACACACACACACACACACACACAGGTCACACACACACACACACAGGTACACACACACACACACACACACAGGTACACACACACACACACACACACACAGGTACACACACACAGGTACACACACACACACACACACACAGGTACAACACACACAGGTCAACACACACACACACACACAGGTACACACACACACACACACAGGTACACACACACACACACACACAGGTACACACACACACACACACACACAGGTACACACACACACACACACACACAGGTACACACACACACAGGTACACACACACACACACAGGTCACACACACACACACACACACACACACACACACACACAGGTACACACACACACACACACACACACACACACAGGTCACACACACACACACACACACACACACACACACACACACACACACACACACACACACACAGGTACAACACACACACAACACACACACAGGTACAACACACACACAACACACACACAACCCCGACGCACAACACACACAGGTACAACACACACACACACACATTGGTTTAACCACAGTCTGTTTATATAAATGTTCATGTGAAACACTTTAGCGTCTAACGTCGTGTTCCAAACGGTAAATCTCTTGATATTTTATTACATTATAAATCTGTACATTATTTATCAGCACGTTACAGTTCGGCGTTTAAAAGTCCTGTTCATGTTTTTGATGTAACGTTCCTCTGAAGCCCTGAGAGCTTTAAAACTGTAAACTTTAAAACACAAACTCTCTGTGAGGTGTTTGTGTGTGTGGTGTGTGTTCAGATCTTCACATTATGAAAAGAGATTATGAAAACAGATTATGTTTAAATATTCAAATTGCATCTTGGGACTCCCTTATAATTTTAGAAAAACAAATCTGTGCAAATCAGTGCTAAAAATATACAAACCAAACTTATGCTTATTTGAATTTGTCTTTTTTATACATTTTTATACTTTTTGCATTTTTATTGTGGCTGTTCTTCTACTTTTCTGTTACAACACTGCAATTGGCTCGGTGTAGTGTGTTCAGACATCTCTGTTTCCCCGGGACAGTCCCAGTTTTGATCCTGTGTCCCTGCAGATTTATACAAAACCACTGATCTGTCCCAGTTTTATACAAGTTTTATCTCACGTGTCCCTGTACAACTGCATTAGGTTCATTTCTAAACTGATTTATTTTTCTTCTTTCAGTTGACAAAACCTCGCAGTCGCTCCTGGAACGACTCGCCCTGCCCCCTCCCCTCCTCCAGCCCCAGTATCTGGAGCAGAGAGAGCTCCACAGCGCCCCCTACAGCCGCCTCTGCCCCCCCCTGTCCCCCCGCAGAGCCCCGAGCCTCCACCAGGGGGCAGCACAGGGTGGTGAGTGTGTCTGCGCTGAGGCTGCCGAGCGTGAAGAGGAACAGAGAAGGTGAGAAAACGACAAACCACATCCTCCAGATCAACTCTGAGAGCCAGATTAAACTTCTGTCTCACTCACGTTCGGTTTATTCATACGAGAGCTGAACCGTCTGGAAACGACAACAAAATGTGATCGTGATTAGATTTGTGATTAAATTTTTAAAAGAACAAAGTCTGCCACAGCATGGAACATTTATCAACAAAACAAAACTAAAAATATGGAGTGTGAAAGCTTTATTATATTATTATATATTTGAGAAATCCATGCAGTTGAGCATAAAATAAATCTTGTTAAACTCTGGAAATCGAGTCGTACATAAAATGTGTTGTGTAGGGATGTGCAAAAATATTGAAATATCGATATATCGTATTGTTTAATGTAGCGATACAGTATCGATATCGTGGGCTGCTGTATCGATATATCGCGTATCGAGTATTTTTGGTGTATTTTACTAAATAATTTTGTCCCAGCTACAGTTTTGTTGTTTGTTTAGTGGAAGGAAACTCGTTCACACGGCAAAAAGGTTCGTTAAAATGAAAATTAAGAACATTTGACTTTATCTGAGTCGACTCTACCAACGGAATAGGTGTTTTTCTAAATTCAAGCGACATTCAATTTCATTTCTTATTTTAAGGGTTGTTGTTTTTCTTTTTTTAAGTGTAGCAAGTTGTATTTTCATATTTTAAGTGTTTTTTGCCCCTGAAAAACCTGTGTCTTTACTGTGAACGGGCTCGCCTCTCCGCAAACCTGACTCTTACTGGGCCTGGAGGAGGAAATGGCTGCAATGTTCCGCAGTACGAACAAATAAAACACATCTACCTCCATGGAGAATGTTCCGGAGTGTGGCTTTAACTTTCTCTTTCTATGGAATTCTGCAGAAAGTTCCACAGATTTAACAGACGACTGAAATCTGAACCGATGAACACAATTTATTTTATTTTTTCATACGATTCTATTGAGACACAAGTAATTATTGTTATCCATTAAATTATCTTCATATTTTTTGATAATAAAAGATTAATAATCTCCAATATAATCTCCATATATCAATAATTCTGCCAACATCACTCCAGATACAAAATAAATATCTGCATGTTTTAGTCTCGTTCAAATGACGGATTAACTCAAATTCTTTCTTCTTCACACTTTGCTGTCATCGTTTCTTTCTGTTTTTGTTTAAACATTTTCTTTTTTTTTCATAAATTTTTTGAGCTCAGGGAGTTCCTGATTTTGACACAAACTGAAATACAAAAACTTTTCCTTGTTGTTCGGACTCTGGACATTTTAAAGAGACGATTTCCCCTTAAATTCTGAATATTTTTCCTGCAGATTCTCCTCTGTCGGATCAGGACGTGTTACTGCAGTATTCATCCTCCAACCTTCAGAAACGACACAGATCCGAGCCTCTCCCCTCCCTCCGTCCTCCCTCTTCCTCCTCCTCCTCCTCCTCTTCCTCCTCGTCTTCCTCCAGACCTCAGGTTCCGCTCAGACCCAGAAACAGATTTGCGACGTTACTGCAGAGGAGGAACGAGGAGTCGGGGGAGGACGGGACGGCCACGTGCAGCAGGTGAGAAACTCTAACTCTTAATAACAGCCTTTATGGATCAGATTTATCCGGAACGTTCCACCGACGACGGGCACGAACCTCAGCGGTCTCCATGGAAACGAGCACCTGACTCCAAATGAATGAATGAATGTTTTTTCGGACAGTAATACATAGAACATAAATACATAGATATAACACAAAAAGTAAATATTTCTATTCCATAATAACAGCCCAAATAAATGTTACGCCGAATTTTCCTTGTGTCCCAAAAAGGAGTGGGAGGAAGTAAATACTTATTTAACCCCACCCCTTTCTTCTACCGTCCCAAATGAACAAAGAACAAACAGACTTCTCATTTCCTGTACAATATAAACTATAATGACACAGTCCCTGCATCGCACAGCAACAAATACATGTATATCATATACACAGTGTTGGGAAGGTGACTTTTAAAATGTAATCCCCTACAGATTACAGATTACACACACCAAAATGTAGTTTGTAACGGAATCCATTAAATTACTTAAAGTGAGTAATGTAATCTGAATACTTTGGGTTACTTGATTTGTTGTAGAGAAGCAAAGACTCGGATACTTAACCGTATTAAAAATATTATTGATAGAAGAGGAGGAGACACGTCCGCACACCATGGTCCTGTTAAATCCTGTAAAATCCTGTTTTAGTCCTGGTTTAGTCCTAGTTTAGACCTGGTTTTAGTCCTGGTTTAGATCTAATTTAGACCTGGTTGTAGTCCTGGTTTAGATCTAGTTTAGATCTAGTTTAGACCTGGTTTAGCTCTAGTTTAGATCTGGTTTTAGTCCTGGTTTAGATCTAGTTTAGATCTAGTTTAGATCTAGTTTAGACCTGGTTTAGATCTAGTTTAGACCTGGTTGTAGTCCTGGTTTAGATCTAGTTTAGATCTAGTTTAGACCTGGTTTAGATCTAGTTTAGATCTGGTTTTAGTCCTGGTTTAGATCTAGTTTAGACCTGGTTTTAGTCTTGGTTTAGTTTCCAGCAATGAGTCGAATTACAGAAGAAAATAAAAAAATAAATAAATAAAAATAATGTGAAAACAAAAAAATCCTGCCATGTAATCCATTTATTTCAACAAAGTAACTGTAATCCAATTACCACTCACTGAAACAGTAACTGTAACTGAATACAGTTACTCATCATTTGTACTCTGATTACATAACTCTAGTACATGTAATCTGTTACTCCCCAACACTGTTTATACACAGATATAAGATATACATACCTACATATACATTATATACACATATACATACACATACATATACACATATACATACACATACATATACACATATACATACACATACATATACATACACACACATATACACATATACATACACATACATATACTTACACACACATATACACATATACTTACACATACATATACTTACACACACATATACTTACACATACATATACTTACACATACATATACACATATACATACACATACATATACATACACACACATATACACATATACATACACATACATATACACATATACTTACACACACATATACACATATACTTACACATACATATACACATATACATACACATACATATACACATATACATACACATACATATACACATATACATACATATACACATATACTTACACATACATATACACATATACTTACACATACATATACACATATACATACACATATACACATATATACATACATACATACATATACATACACATACATATACACATACATATACATACATATACATACACATACATATACACATATACTTACACATACATATACACATATACATACACATATACATACACATATATACACATACATATACATACACATACATATACACACATATACATACACATATACACATATACACATATACATACACATACATATACATACACATACATATACACATATACATACACATACATATACTTACACACACATATACACATATACTTACACATACATATACACATATATACATACACATACATATACATACACATACATATACACATATACTATACACACACACATATACACATATACTTACACATACATATACACATATACTTACACATACATATACATACACATACATATACACATATACATACACACACATATACACATATACATACACACACATATACATACACACACATATACACATATACATATACACATACATATACACATATACATACATATACACATATACATACACATACATATACACATATACATAGGCAAGGAAAGGCAAGTTTATTTGTATAGCACAATTCGTACACAAAGTAATTCAAAGTGCTTTACAGAATAAGAAATACATTAAAATCATAATAAAAACAAATCAAAACATAAATAATCATGAAGATTAAAATTAAAAAAGAGAGAAGAGTGCGGAATGAAAACCTTACACATACATATACACATACATATACACATATACTTACACATACATACACACATATACATACATATACACATATACTTACACATACATATACACATATACTTACACATACATATACACATATACTACACATATACACATATACACATATACATACATATACACATATACTTACACATACATATACACATATACTTACACATACATATACACATATACTTACACATACATATACATACACACATACACTAAACACTAATTTCATCAGCACAGTATTTTGAAATAATCCATTTTTTAACGGCCCTTTTGAACATGTTTATTTGAACAAAGTTTTAATTCTATTTTCAAGTTGTTCCATAATTTTACACCACAAACAGAGACACAAACACTTTTTCTTGTTGTTCGAGCACGAGGCAATTTAAAATTCATAAAGCCTCTTAAGTTATAGTTTCCTTCCTTTTCACAAAAAAGTAGTTGGATATTTTTGGGTAAGTGTTTATTTTATTTATTTTTATACATGACTTGTGCAGTTTGGTACAGAATCAGATCATTCAGTTTGACTAATTTGGCGTGAATAAACAGTGGATTAGTGTGGTGATGAAATTTGACATGATAAATCATTCTTATTGCTCTTTTTTGAAGTTTTAATTAAATCAAAACCTGAAGACTATTTTCTGTTTAGAGAAAGAACAAAGATGTGTGTGTGTGTGTGTGTGTGTGTGTTTGCTGCAGGTGTTTAAATCAGTGGGAGCAGGTAAAAGGAT